AGAAACATATATAATAAAAAATATATAATTTCTTTTTTTATCATATTTTTTATCTTATATATAAATAAATGAATCTCACATGCATTTATTAATAAGAATTTTATTATCTTGTGTCTGAAAAAATAAAATTATGTATGTTATTATAATATGATGTAGGAGATTACCAGAGTGGTTACACCAAATCAAAAAAGTTCCCCTTTATTGTATTGAAGTGTTTTTTTTGGACAAACTGGATAATGATAGATTATAATACAAATTATACAATAGACTGTTAATCCTAAATAAATAGTCACTAGCCTATTTAGTTAGAAATGAAGTATATTTGATTATTAATCTGACCTTCACTAAACTAACCAATCAATAGATTAGTAAATTTATTAGACATGAAATCCAATCTCACACCACAATCTCACGGAACAAATAATCCCTATGTGTTTTAGGGCCTAGTCAGGCAACTTTTTCATTTTTAATATATATATATATATATATTTTATATTCGTTTGTAATACAATAATGATTTATCCCACTAATTTGGGAGTACTAATTGACCACTAATGAGGTGGAAATTCAAAAAAGAGCAATGCTATAGATCACTAATTTGCCATTACTAATCCCACCACTAGTGAGGTGGCAATTGAAAAAAATAGAAAAAAAAAAAGGCACAAAACACATGTGGCAGTGGGTGGGACCTACTGCCACATCATTAGAGCCACCACTAATTAGTGGTCTAAAGCATTTTTGTTCAAAACAACTCAAATATAGAGCGTATGCATCATGATCATGGAACAACAAACATGGGAATGTCAACACCACCAAGACAAACGAAGGAATAGACACCATGGCAGCTTTTGACATGACCCTTTTTTTGTAACGAAATCATTGTGACAACTCCAGGCAGGAAAATGTTACCATGCTTTTCTAAAAATCAATAAATAATAGGAAGAAGTTTCTTAAAGACAAATAATAATAATTTTATGAAAAAAAAAAAAAATTGTCTTAGAAGTTGACTCCTTTGTCCTTAGTAGAGTTTTTATTTTTTATTTTTTTTATTTGTTAATTTAGGAGTTTCTGATCTAAAAGGACTTAAAGAATAATTAAAAATTTGGCTGAAAATAATAATAATAAAAAAGACAATAAAATTTTAAAATTTGAAGAAAACCAGGGAAAAAAAAAACAATTGCCAAAGTAGAAACAAAGACACATACGTATTGTTTGGGAGGTGCAAAATAAACCTCTTCTTATTTTTATTTTTTTTCTTTATTGAGTGTTTTTCAAAATAATGTCAAAATTTTTACTTTTTTAGTCTTTCTGTTGTAAACGAATCTAAAAAGTAGAAAAATAAAAAATCTATAAAAATTTGAAAAGTCAAAATAAGTCAAAAAAATCTACTATATTTTTTTTATTTTTGGATTGATTTTGGATTTTATTATTTAAAATAATTTTTTTTGTTCGTCTCGTTGAGTAGAATCTAAAAGCTTAAAGTGTTTTTTTTTTTTAAATTTTAAAAACTTCACCAAAAAAGAAAATAAGGTAACAAAAATATCAAAAAAAAAGAAAAGAAAAAATAAAATAAAAAAAAAAAAAAAAAAAAAAACAGTTTTTCTGCCCAATCATGGGCGACCCCCAGCACCCCCAGCTGGGGGTCCAAGTCATTTTTCAAAAGCTTAAAGTGTTTTTTTTTTTTAAATTTTAAAAACTTCACCAAAAAAGAAAATAAGGTAACAAAAATATCAAAAAAAAAGAAAAGAAAAAATAAAATAGTAAACCGTAAACATGATTATACAAGGTCAAATTACACTAGCGGTTCCTATAGTTTGGGGTTTATATCACTTTGGTCCCTGACTTTTCAATTGTGACACATTTGATCTTAAATTTTGAATCTTGTTTCAAATAAGGACAATTGAAAATATCATTGCTTAATTTCAAGGGTAAAGTCATCAATTTGATAAAATATAAACTAATTTGACAAAAATAAATATCAAAAAAATATTTTTGAATTTTTAAAAATTATTTCTAATTACCAAAGATAAAATGTAAAATTGATAAATCTTTTACACATTTATTTTTTATTTTTTTACCAAATTAGTTTTTATTATGTGTTTAAATGATGATCATATAATGGATAGTTGTTTTTGTTTTAATTAAATTAGTTTCTATTTTTTCAAAAGTCAAATATGACGACACTTTGATATCAATATTATACCAATCCATTAAATCAAAAAATTCAAAACTAAAAACATTTTATATAAATATATCGATTACACATTAAAAATCTAATAACCACTTGTTACATGATCATCATCCAAATGCATAATGAAAATTAATTGGGTAAATTATGTAAATAGTCCCTGTAATTTACACGATGTGTCAATTTGATCCATGTAGTTTCAATTTACTCGATTTGCCCCTTAATTTAACGGTTTTGTCATTTTAGTCCAATAAATAACTGTTGTTAAATTAATTTAACGGAAGGTCAAATAATGTGTCAATTTGGTCCCTGTACTTTACACGATGTGTCAATTTAGTCTCTGTAGTTTCAATTTTCTCGATTTTGACAGGGACTAAATTGACACATTATGAAAAATACAAAGACCAAATTGACGCATTGTTTGACTTTCCGTTAAATTAATTTAATAACCGTTATTTATTAGACTAAAATAACACAATCTGTTAAATTAAGAGGCAAAATCGATCAAATTGAAACTACATGGACCAAATTGACACATCTTGTGAATTACATGGACTATTTACATAATTTTTCCAAATTAATTTGTTAAAAGAAATAAAAATTCATAAAAGATTTATCAATTTTATATAATTTTATTTTTGGTGGGTAGAAATAATTTTTAAAAATTCAAAAATATTTTTTTGACATTTATTTTTATCAAATTAGGCCTCGTTTGGCAAGTGATAATTTTAGTTAAAAAGTTAAAAAGTCAAAAAGTTACTAAAAAAATCAAAAAGAGAATTTTTTTTTAAGGTCCCTAATAATAATAATTTAGAGGATAAAGGACACCAAAAAAATAGTGAGGCATCAGGTCCTTGAACAACTTGGTGCGCGTTTTAATTATTTTGTGGACCAAAATACCCTTCCAAAAATCAACACAGAAACGAAACTCATTCCGACGTCTGAGTTCCATTCCAAGCATCCAGCATCTTCACGAACAAAAGAACATCAGAATTAGGGTTTCAATATCATCTTTACCATTGACATTAGAATTTCGTTATCTTCTACAAAAATCATTCACATTCATTCCTCACAAAATTTCTCTAACCCCGTTCATCTTCAAGTTTCATCTCAGTTCATCTTCGTCACGTTGCATCTTCATCTCAGGCCATATCAGCTCGTCATTCAAGTTTCATCCTAACTTTGGTAAGTTTTTTCTACAATATAATTAGATTTTCTCTGGAAACACAGTTAATTGCATTTTATATTAACCTTCCATAAATTAGGGTTTCAATTTCGTAACAAAAAGCTACCAAAATTTGGAAAAAGTTATTTCTATATATTTTGAACTTATTCTTGAGCATGTTTGTGTGATTTTATCTATAAATTTCTCTGGTATTTGAATTTCTCTGGTTTTTGCTTGATGTATGTTTCTTCTTTCAATTTTCTCTGGCTTGTTTATTTTGAAAAAAGCAGTTCTCTGTGTTTTCATCTTATTCTTGAACATGTTTTTGTGATTTTGTCTATAAATTTTCTTGCTTTGTAAATTTCTCTGTAATATGTATTTTTAATTGGAATGTCTATCTTTCTCTAAAAAAGAAAAAATTACTCATAAATCTCATTTTCAGAAAAGTTATTCCATTTAGTCTTAGAAGTTTTCTTTCAAACCAATTAGTCCTTTTTATTTTGGGTATGTTGTATTTCCTTGATTTGGGAGTTGAAAGTTTACTTGTTTGCCCTTATGCGTGATTTTGTTTGGATTTTTTTCCTAATGTTGGGTGTGCGTGGGTAAGGTAGGTTTTTACGTTTCTATTTATTTATTTTTTTTCTTAGTGGGATTTAGTGGAGTGATTTGTAGGTGGATGATGTTACCCCGTTTGTAGTGTTATTGATGTAGTGTTCATTCCTTCTTGTGATGTTCGTCTCTATTCACTACAAGAATTTACACATTTGCCGACCACTTTTGCCGACCAAAAAAATTTTGGTCGCAAAAAAATGACATTTGCCGACCAAATATTAATTAGTCGCGAATGATCAATATTTTTGGCGACCAAATATGAGTTGGTCGCAGACGGTCACATTTTGGCGACCAAAAATGAGTTAGTCGCAGAAATTGGTATGCTTTTGGCGACCAACTACAAATTTGGTCGCGGAATGTCACATTTTGCCGACCAAAAATAAATTAGTCGCGAAATGAGTATTTTTAGCAACAAATATTTTAGTCGCCGTTGATTAAGATTTGGTGACTAAAGAAGTTTGTCGGCGAAGGTACCTTTTCTGCGACTAATCTGGTATTTTGGTCGCCAAAAGTTTGGGAGGCAAATTTGAAAGTCTGTCCAGGCGGGAATTAAATTTTTTTTGCGACAAAAAAATTTGGTCGCCATTTTAAAAATGACGTCGTTTTGTACTAGGAAAATAGAAAAAAACAAAAAAGAAAAGAAAAAAAAGCCCTAATCTCTTTTTATCTAGCCCGCTCTCTGTGTCTATGTTGGTCTGCCCTCTCAGATTGCTTGCCCAAAACTTGGCGTCTCGAACGGTTTCGAAACAGAGATCCAAAAAGACGACGACACAAATTCGATACCCTTCTTGATTGTTGTTCATCTCTCCCAGATTCAAACAAACCCATCTCCAAAATGCCCATTTCTCAATAGTGTAGACAATTTTCTAGGTTTTCTTGGTCTCAAATTCATATTGATTTCGTTTTTTGTTTTTGATATAAAAATTGATTTGATTGATTGTAGTTCTGAACTGGGTTTTTGGGTTCTCGAAGTGTTGTTGTGCGTAGTAGCAACTATGGCGGCTTCTTCCGTGGTGTGTACATGGCTCGTCTCCACTTGCATGTCCGTTGCTTGTGAAAAACACCAACAACAACAACCCATGATGATGATGATGAATCAATCTTCGTCGAAGCGATTTAGCAGATGGGCTCGGAAGAGGAGGGTTTTATCTAAATGCAGAGCTGGTTGTTCTGAAATCCCCAAGGGTCGCCTAATCTCATCGGGCATTCAGGGTTTGATGTCCTCTTACTTGCCTTTCGAGCCCTGCGATGAGTATTACAATTCCAAAGGCCTTTGCTCTGCTGATTTCTTTGGCGACAATGGTTTCTCTTCTCTCTTTGGATCCACCAATGTTCCCCTCTCTCGCAGACAGAGACGCTTCAATCCAGCTGTCCATTCCGGAATCTGAGAGGGCAGACCAACAAGCCCAAGTTTTGGATTCAATTTTAGAATGTAACTTCTCTTCCATTTTTGACTTGGAAAAGTTGTAAATCTTCCTCCTGTATTCATGTTTAGGAGGTTCAATTCACTAAAATTTATTGCATAATGTGATCAGATGCTTTGGACAACGATACAAATTCTGGTTCTGGGATTCTTTTTGAAGACAAAATTTGTATCAAACGCTGGCACTGTCCTTGGGATTCTACTGTGGTTGATTACATAGCCCCAGTCTTTAGACTGATTTTGGAGGAGAATTACTTATCATCGTCAATGCAACCCTTAGAAGATACAAAAAAGAACAGGTCATTGTGGTGGATGCAGAGAAAGAGTCTTGATCAGCGCCTTAGCAAATTTTTGAGGTTGGTCTTTCCTTCAATACGATGCATATTGGATTGATCTCTCCTACTATTTTACTGTTCTCCATTTTAATATCTACAGAAAATTGTACATTATGTGTCACATTTATCAAAGGTAATCAGTAGCTAGTGACAGATTGTCTTATTGACAGCAATTTGAAGGCAACCAGATCATAACAAGGTCTTTACTGTCATGTAATACTAGTTGTTTGGTTCTTTTTCCAAAAATAATATATTATCGGCTTTGTTACTAGGAAGTAAGAAACAATCTTAACTGCTAATTTTGACACATTTTTTAGTATACTTGCTAATTGTGATTTGAATTTTACCACCTGAATTGATTTACACTTCAATTACATCTTTGTTTCTTTTGGTTTGGCTTCAGTCAACATTCATTCTGATTTGTTGTGTTTTTCAGGTTTATTTTGCTGGTTTGGGATGCTTAAAAAATGTTAGGGCAGCTCTTTGCAGAGGAACAGTATTGAAATGCACCCGCTGTGGGAGGTGAGGGGCAACAATTGGATGCCGTGTTGATCGTTGTACAAAAACATACCACTTGGTTGGTTACCGACATCTTTTTAATTATAAAGCATTCTTTATTCTTGTTCTTTTTATTCTTTCCTTTCTTTTGTGGTCATCTTTGTAGCATGGAGTTTCAAGTCAACTTTCTCAAACTTATGGGTTTTGATATCCTCATTTTCTGGCTTGTGCCCTCTTTGCAGCCTTGTGCACGAGCTAATGGTTGCATTTTTGATCATCGCAAATTTCTCATAGCCTGCACAGATCATCAGTATCTCTTCCAACCTCAGGGAAGTCATTATTTTTACAAGGTAAAGAAAATGAAAACTAAGAAAATGAAATTGGAAATGAGAAAGCTGTCAAATGATGCATGGCGGAAGGATGTTGAAGCAGAAGAAAAATGGCTAGAGAATTATGGTGAGGATGAAGAATTTTTGAAACGTGAGAGCAAGACGCTACATCGTGATTTGTTGAGAATTGCACCTGTGTACATTGGAGGCTCAAACTCTGAAAATGAAAAACAATTTCAGGGTTTGGAATCTATTGCTGGGCTTCAAGATGTCATCTGATGCATGAAGGAGGTCGTTATTTTACCATTGTTATATCCTGAGTTCTTTAGTAATATGGGACTTACACCACCTAGGGGTGTTCTTTTGCATGGCTATACTGGAACAGGTAAAACGTTAGTAGTGCGTGCGCTAATTGGTTCTTGTGCTCGTGGTGATAAACGGATAGCCTATTTTGCTCGCAAAGGAGCAGATTGTTTAGGAAAATATGTCGGTGATACTGAGCGCCAGCTAAGACTTTTGTTTCAGGTTGCTGAGAAATCTCAACCATCTATAATTTTTTTTGATGAGATTGATGGGTTGGCACCTTGCCGCACTAGGCAGCAAGATCAGACACATAATTCAGTTGTTTCCACCTTGCTTGCTCTATTAGATGGTTTAAAATCTAGAGGCTCAGTTGTAGTAATAGGTGCAACAAATCGTCCTGATGCTGTTGATCCAGCTTTAAGACGACCTGGTAAATTTGATAGGGAGATTTATTTCCCACTTCCATCAGTTGAGGACAGAGCAGCTATTCTCTCGCTTCACACACAAAGTTGGCCAAAGCCAGCCACTGGATCAGTGCTCAATTGGATTGCTAGAAGAACTGTAGGTTTTGCTGGTGCTGATCTGCAGGCTCTTTGTACCCAAGCAGCCATTATTGTCCTGAGGAGGAACTGCCCCTTGCAAGAAATATTGTCTGCAACTGAAAAGAAAGCTTCTCATGGTAAACGTCCTCCTCTTCCCACCTTTGCGGTGGAGGAGAGGGATTGGTTGGAGTCTCTTGCATGTGCACCACCTCCATCCTCTCTGGCTGCAAATGATGTGGAATCCTCACCTCTTCGCAGCCATCTTATTCCATGTCTGCAGCAACCGTTGTCCAGATTGCTTGTTTCCCTTTATCTTGATGAACGTCTCTTGTTTTTGCCTCCTCATCTTTATAAAGCTGCCACACTCGTCAAAAATTTAGTGAGTGTGAAATCTGGTATTTTAAGTTTTAGAGTTTTGTACCTTTATTTTATTGCTTTTACTGTGCTGTGCTCTATTTATGTCTTGGTTTCCTGATATCCAAATTTTTGCTCTTCCCTTAAGTAAATGTTGTTAGGCCTCTTTGGCACCTTCTCTTTCTCTGGATGCTGATCACTTGTTATTGGAACACGTGTATGACTTGCGTCATTTGTCAACACAAAATCCTCCTTCCCCCAAGTAACTGAACTGAAGTCACCAGTTTTTTGACATACATGAGGCATGAAAAGCTGATATCTTAACCTTGAGGAGGATTGGTGGTAATTTAACAAAAAGGATGGGTTAATGATGTTGTCAAAAGCTTAGTTGTGGGTTTGGATAATTTAGTATAGAATGCTTAAATTTTTATAATAGAAATTATAAATTTACTTTAAGTGGACTTTGTTAATAAAAGAACTCTATATATTCTTATTGTTGATATTAGTAGAATTCAATGCATAAGCTACACGTTTTTACAATACATCAAAGATTTGGATGTGGAGTAACTTGTAGAACTTGTCCTCAGCTTCTTCGTAAATTCCTTGTTCTAACTGATTTTTAGATGCTATGCTTATCAAAAAAAGGGGCTCCAGTTTTTGAATGATAGGGTCCCTGTGGCCATTGCTTGTGGTAGTTGTAAGATCCGGGGTTGCCAGGCGTGAGTGAGAACACATGTTTGAATATGAGGGTAGCCACTTTCTGCAAAAAATACCAGTATACCCTTCTGAGCAGCTGGTTTTGTGGGAACAACATAGGGTTATTTATTTAGGTTGCCATATGCCTTATGTTATCGTAAATTTAGCTTCCACTTTCCATCCACTCCCCATTAGAAGGAGATTTTGTAAACCTAAAGCTTTTTCTTTTTTCCTGATTATTTTACATAATGGTTATATAAGAACGTAGATTTACATACATCAAATTTGGTGAACATATCTTGAGTCCAAATTTTTTTGAGTTTCCAAATTTATGGCCAAATTTGAAAAGTTTGAATGTTTAATATTTTGACCAAATTTTGTTGAATGTCAATCGAGTTTCTAGAAATTCGTCAATTTAATGTAAAATACTAAAAATTCATATTTCCCGGAAATCTGAATTCCAATTTTTCTAATTTTTGCTAAATATTTCAACTTTATGGTCGAATTTTGACCAATTTGGATAGGTCAATTGGTCTGATCTGACTTTTCATGAACTTTCATGTTAAACACCCAATTTATAACCACATTTTATCATTCTAATTGTGATAATGCATAAATGCATCTAAGTTTATTATTTATTGACGGCAGTATAACCCAAAAAATTCCTGACTAAATCTTCCTTGCATTTGATGGCTGTAGGGTTCTGTGATTTAATTTCTTAAACTTGATTTGCAAGACCATGAACTTTCTTAAGTTTTGTCCACCGCTAATATATATATGTGTCTATATGGATGAATATTTGTGTAAAAATTTTGTATTTACATTCTGGAGTCAGGTTTTTTATAAAATGGGGGTCAAAGCAAGAACTAATTATCCATAAGTTCTTCCTTTAATAAAACGTAGAAAACTCACAAAACACAAGTTACGACTTTGAGTATGTCAACAATGCTCCACAACAAGACAGTGATTCGTAAGTTTCATACATCTATAAATAAGATAATCTGATTTGCATGTTTCTTAAAACTAACCATACCTATAATTTGTATACAGTTTGGATTGTGGCCTCTTTGTTTGCTATATAATGAAACAATATAGCAAGCATGAACCTATCAGCTCCAAATTGTCCACACAGGACATAAGGTTGATGAGGGCAGAACTCATAGAGAGATTTGTGACCAAAGTTGGCCAGTCATGGACTAAACCAATTGAAATACCTCCAGAAGAAGAACCAAAAATGTAAAAGTGAAACTAGTGAAAGGAAGACAATGTACATATCCACACAGAGAAAATTGTCTCACATATATGTATATATCCACACAGTATTAACCATTCAGTTTTTTGTTCATACATTGAAGGAATGATGATGCTTGACATATATGTATATATCCTTTTTTTACTAATGTAAATTTCATTTTTTTAATGTTTTGACTAATGTAAATTCCATACCTATCAATGGTTAAATATATATATTTTTTTTATTGTGATTGTCAACACAATCCACACAAAGAAAATTGTCTGCAGAAATTTCTCTACTATGATATTACCAGAAATTCACAGAGAAATTTAACTTGTATCGTCCCAAGGGGATGCCTATATGATCATGTAATCTGTAATACTTTGTGTTGGTACAAAACAATCATCAAACTCAACAAAACACAAAGTGCACAGTAATTTTATCTGTTACTGGAAAATTTCACCGGATGAATTTGAAGTTTCAAAACACAATGCCTAGATAATTTTCTCTAATAGTGGAAAATTTCTCCGGATGAAATTGACGAATTCGAATCATGACAGAAAATGGAATTTCTGAGTTGTGAATTTCTTTGGGTTGAGTGATTTGGAGAGGGGGAATTTCTCTGAGTTGGTGAGGAAAATCTCTCTGGCTTTGACAAAAATTTATGAGTTGAAGTGATTCTAGATAATTTCTTCCCTGGTCCAGAGAAATTCTCAACTCAGAGAAATTTCAAAAGAGCTTAATTTTGTTTCTTGGTTGTACTCAGTGCAATAATTTTGTGTATGCTCTGTCTGGTGTGCACATTTCTTGAAATGACTGATATGAAGTTACTAGAAATTCACAAAGAAATTTAACTCGTATCATGCCAAAGAAGGTGCCTATATGATCATGCAATCTATAATGCATTGTGTTAGTACAAAACAATTATCAAATTCAAAAAACACAATCCACGCAGTACTTTTCTCTGCCATTGTCAAATTTATGTAGATGAATTTGAAGCTTCAAAACACAATACACAGAGAATTTTCTCTGGCATAGGAAAATTTCTCTGGATGAATTTGATAGGTATTACAAACCCACTGCCTATAGTATATATCAACAAACACAATGCACACTTTAACTGATATTGAAAAATTTCTCTGAATGAATTTGATTGATATTATTATGTACACTGTCTAAAAAATACATTTCACAAAACAAAATACACAAAGTAATCATCAAATGTATTATTCAATCAATAAAATGTATTATCCTCAACTATTTAACAAAGGTTCCTTGCATGTCCTCTTATTATGATGACCAATACTCTCACAACGACTACACTTAATAACCCTTTTAAACTCTCCAGTAGAAGCAATTCTGTTCTTCTTCGGCCTCCCAGCTGGTCTCTTATCAATAGAGAATCATAGCATCTTCAACGCTACACAGAGGTTTTTCAACAGTTGGAACTGGGCCAATCAAAAACGAGTATGCTTGACGATACATATCAGCATGAAAAAATGGTTCAACAAATGAATTTAAATTCTTTCCACTCCTAAAAATTACAGCACCAGCATGTTGACATGGATACCTACTTATTTCCCATTTTCGACATGAACAAGTTCTCAACCCAAGATCAACCATAACCGAAGGAAAACAATGCATTTCAAAGACATTATCAGATGATAAACTCACATTCCATGTCCTCCCATCCAAAAAAGACTTCTCCAATACATTATCCATACGAGGACACAGAGCTTTATTCCATTTACTAGAGAGCAGCTTCCTATCAGACCTCATATTCATGATTTGCAACTGTATCATGTCCACCAAATTTGTTATTGGCAAGTGCCGAGCGTCTCGTATCTATGAATTGAATGACTCAGCAACATTTGAATACATCTCACCATAACGTTTCCTTGCAAAATATGCATCACTTCAATTTTCATATGGTAAACTTCTCAAGAAAACATTCACAATGTCTCCTCCCTTACTTTTTAATTCATTTAACTTGAAATGAAATGATGCCTTTGTTGGTGCATATGTACAT